ATGATTTTATTTGATATAATATAATGATGGCCATTATTCTTACATTCTTAAAAATGAAAAATATAATTTACCTAAAAGTTATTAAAAACTTTAAACTAATCAGAGCAATGATTTTAAGTCAGTGGTCTAACCATAATTAAATTAAAATTAACTTGATCATAATTAAAATAATTTAATTTAATTAAAATATAAAATATTTATATATAATCATGATAAGAGTAATATTTAAACAAGTAAGATATTAATTTACAAGTAAAAAGAAACATCTATGGATAAATTACACATAATATAATAAAATAGTAATAGAGCTAATTAAGTACAAAGTTGATAAGTTATTATTTTTATTTTATTCTTTTAAATTTAAAATAATATCTTATGCTTAATAAAATTATTTAAAAATTAAAATTAATTAAAAAATAAAAAATATTTTAAAAAGTTTAAGGTATCTGGGCAGGCCTGAATAAGCCTAAAGCTCAAAGGTGTTAGGGTCAGGTTTGGCTATATGTGCTTTTTAAAAAGAGAATGATACTTTAAGCTCGATCCAAATAAGCCCAACTCAAATTGAGTCTTGATCCAAATAAGTCAACACACATGAATTATCGTCTTTAGTCTCTATATGTACTAAATACTAAGCTTGATCTTTAATAGGTCTAAACAATTCTATTTTAAAAAAACACAATTTTGAGTCCTAATACTTTGCTTGAATTTTGTTATAGGTCATTGAACTTTTTTCCAATGTTTTAAAACAAAAAAAACAAAGTTCAAGGATTTAAAACATAAAAAAAAATATAGAGACCTATAATAAAATTCAAATAAAGTGTTTGGATCCAAATTTATATTTTTCTTTATTTTTTAGGTACATTTACCAAAGTGCTTCCTAGCAAAAGCCTTCCATTAAGTGTCTCTTTATTTTTTCCTCCTCCTAGAGTGCTTTTTATTAAAAAAAAAAAAAAACCATTTGCTAATGTAGACCCACGCGAGCAAAAAAAAAAAAAAAAACATTTGCTAATGTAGACCCACGCGAGCACTTTTTTTAGAAAGTGCTCTTGTAGGTTATGCTTCAAAACCTACAAGAACACTTTAATAAGAGCGTCTGGTAAGTCTTTTTTATAACGGTGAGAGATGCATAAATGGAACTAACTAGGAGTGGATTGAAATCCAATAGCTCATGAATATCATGTTTTAATTAATGTATCAAGTTAAAGGTAATTATAATGATAATAATAGTGATGAATACATTCAATTATTTCTTTACAATTTGTTTTGTTAAATCACATTAAACCAAGAAAACCTCACTACGAGGGATTACTAGAAATGGCCTTCTTTGGAAACTTGAAAGGTAAACAATGGCTTGCCATGCCATTTATGAATATATGCATGCTAGAGGGAAATATTTAGCTTTCAATGAATAGGTCTTCTCACATGTATTTGTTTGATGGCTAGCAGCAAACGTGTTTGTTTAAAAGTAGGATTACAAGTAGCTCTTTAATTTAGAATTTCATTGTCACTTATAGCATCACATGGTTTGGGATTGAGATAATGTTAAAATTTTCCATTTATTTTTATAATTATCATCTACATGTGAAACCTAATATAATAACTGAGAATGATAACTAAAATAATTTTTTTGGGGCACTTCACTGTGAAAGCGCTCTTGTATGAGCATTCTAACAAGCATTTTTTGTAATAGTGTTAGGATCTCATTATAACTTTTATGTTCCTATAAATTCAATATTCATCTTACATTTAAGAACTGAATTTTTTTAACAAAGTCTGATTTGGTATTAACTTTTTTAGCATATTCTTAATTGTCATTCTTCATAATATATAACAATGCAGGGAAATTGTTTTTTGCACTCATCATGATGATGAGCATAAAATATTCACCATAAATTTAGACGGTCCAAATTAAAATTGTTCGGACCTAATTGAACAATATTGCATTTTTTATTATTAGAACGTGTAGTTGAAAGGTCATATGTTGACAATTATATTTGAAAAAAGACACAGATTCTCAACGGATGACCATTAACATATATTAAAAACCCTTTCATATTGTCTCCACTCCCACCAACCAGTGATGGATTCCGACTTGCCCCTCATGCTATGAATCTTTCTTTGTAAATATGTTTACTTTTATTTGTAAAAATGTTGAAATCAATTTTAGCCCCAAATTTCAGATAAATTTTCATCTTTGATCATTACATGATGGCTTCTAAATTCCATCCTACTTCCAACAATATAGTTTTGGATAAGGTACTAAAAATTAAGCTTATCGTTGAATCAGTTAAAGCACTGATTGAAGGGTTAATAGTCAAAATTATGTTAAAGTGATAATAAACCGATCAAGATACTTGGGGGGTAGAGCTTAGATTTAAAAATACATGGGCTGGAATTAAGAAAACATATATATTACAAAGCTTTTATAAATTGTGAATGGAGAGTTAGAAGTATATGTAACATCTATATAACAAAAAAAAAAAAATAAAAGACTTGGGAGTTATGCCCTTGTTGGTTCCCCCTCTCTACCCTTGAAGACACTGATTTAATAGTTTGATAGTTTAATCGGATAGGTTGGCTTAGATTTCTATATTATGATTGTGGAAGCTCAAAAATAATACATTGTCAAATGTCAAATTGAGGAGTGGGTGGTGATGTGGCAAGAAAACGATTGGGAGAAAGAATACTTAGTGTTAAAAGAGATTATTTATGGTTGAGTACCGCAGCCTAAAATAGTTGTATTTGAGTGGGAAATGAAGGAATTTCAATGGGAAATTAGAGATGTTTAATTAGAATTGGCTTTTAACTACAATTCATTTTTTTTTTTGGGCAAGATCCCAAAGTGTCATTTTCCTAAAAGATCACTTCTTTAATTCTTTTTATAAAGTCTAGAGGTGGTAATGCATAGTTAATCCGTGGGTTATGTTGTCATAGATAGGACAAGTTAGAAGCGGCCCGCCACTTGGTGGATTGAAAAAATGCCAACTCAGCCTGCTATAGATAGGTTGGCAGGTCAACTTGCTACTTTTTTTTTCAAATAATTTTTTAAAAAAATTAAATTGAATTACAATTTTTTATAAACTAAAATTAAATTATTTCTGTATTTTTATAAAATTATATAATTAAATTAATCTCAGAACCCGGCTAATATAAGCAAGTAATCTATTTTGTATAATTATTTTATCAATATAAAAATAGTAAATCAATCAAAAATAAGGAACTAAACTTAAAATTATGTTCCTAATATGCTTAAAATAAGTACAAAATAATGAATTTTTATTTAAACTAAAATTAAAAACAAAAATTGTAAAACAAATTTAAAAAAGGAGACAACCCACAAGTTAGCAAGCTAGCTTAACTCATGCTCCTGACTCTAAATTAAATTTTATTAACTACTTTCATGAGATCGAAGAAATTAATTATAAAGTGAGAGAGAGAGAGAGAGAAGAAATGTTATCTTTTGGAATGAATTATAAATATTTCATTAAATCTTAAAAGAGACTTTATATTAAAAACCAACAAAAATATAAAATCTTATAAATAAAATTAAAACGAATACCTGACATTGGTGAGGTTGGAGCAGCCTTGAAAGGGAACATTTCGAAGAAACTTCCTACCTGATGGGTGATACGAGGTATGGTCTTACCCACCCACAACCACAAGTTGCCTTTGTTAAAGAATCCCTCAAGCTGTCTCTTCTAGGGGACCACAACACTTTCTTGTTGCTCAATGTTTTGGATTTGTCTTGTTTGATGCTCCTTGACCTTTCTACTACGCCTTTGTTGTGTTTTGGGTAATCAATCCTGAATGAATTTTATCAAAAGCTTAGCCCCCAATTTAGAATCTTCATTAGTACCCTTTTGTGATGAATTATGTTTGCATTGATGAAATTTCAATTCAACATCCTTTGCATATTAACTATATATATGTTAGCTATCACATTGTCTCATTCAATTTTTGTTAAGGTATTAAAAATTAAACCGGTTATTGAACTGGTCAAACTATTAGTTCAAGAATTGATGGTCAAAACTGTAGTTGAATTGAAATTAAACTAATCATAAATAAAGCATTTTTTTAAACTGGTCAAAATATTGATTTAATTGTTTATTGGTTCAATTGAGTGAGTTGACTTAGATTTTTATACTATAATTTTTGTGATTGCTTAACTATATGGCAATTATAAACCTCCACTTTAACATGGGTCATTTTTCACATTGGCAAATTGCAAGTTTGGTATCATAATGCTAATTTAATCACATTTGGAATCTTCTTCAAAAATATTTACACATGTTAAATTCAAGGTTTTGAAACTCAAATCAGTTATTGAATTGGTTGAGATTATAATTCAAGAGTTAATGGTTCAGACTATAATTAAGCTGAGGTCAATGTAATTATAATTAACTCAAAACAATATCGTTTTAAGATAGTTGACCTATTTAAAACTCTTGATTGAATCAATTAAAAGACTAGTTCATTGGTCTTGCTAGCTGATTTGGTTTTTTTTTTTCCTTGATAAAAAAATTCAAATAAGTTGAGTGCTAAAAACTTATCAAAACCAGAATGTGCCTCCAAACTTAAAAAACACTTATAAAAGTACTTATAAATTACTCACCAACAATGTCTTTACATTGATAGTGGGATATAAATCTACAACTTTGTGAATTATATATCAAATTTCCACCAATAAGACTAACATTTTGTTTGAGGTTGGTTCTCATACTATGGTTAAATTAACTAGAGTGGGCATTGATGATGCAGGAAGCATAATTGTTAGTGGGATTAGTGTGTGGGCCGGGCCTTATGGATGCAACACAGAAATGAGGCGACCATGAACATCCAAGTGAACGCTGTGATTATGGTCACACGCTCACCCCATCATTTCCCAATTTGAATTTTATGGTAATTCAGTGAGCAAAGTAGGAAGATATATTTATTACCCACATCTCCATAGAGAATTTGATTTTTTTTTTATGAGTTCTACATAATCTTACACACAGATATTGTATTCTAAACTTCAACTGATATTTCAGAATGAATCTTGTCAAAGGTGCAAACACACATTTCCTACCAACAGAAAAAAAAATTACATAATGATGAGAAACAAACTTTTCACATATCACTGACATAACATATTTACAGTAATGTATTTACATAGAATGACAGAATTTCTGAGAGCAAAACTATTGCCCACAAGAGTGCAATGGGCAATTTGCAGAAAGGTCTAGCTGTTATAAAAAAGGGCAAAAAAAAAAGGACGAGGAAGAAAAGGAAGAAGGTCTTGCTATCTTGAAAAGGCTTCCCAAACAGAAACATAACAGCTCAAGAATTTCTGCTATCATCCTGTTCATCGATCAGTAGATTAAACTATATGTTTGATAATTTGATATCAAGCTTCCAAAATTCAGTCTTCCCAGCTAACCCAACTGCAAATTTGCAATGCATTACCATACCAAGTCAAGGCTCGTGCTTCTTCTGAACATTCTCATCCTAACTAACTACCGCTGTAACTTTTGTCAAAACACGTCTCTGACCCTTTCACCAATGAAAACTGATATTTAAGGGAAAATGGAGTGTCTGACTTCATTAGACACGTGGCGTTTAGAGTTTTTAATGAAGTAAACTCATCAAAGCATTCAAAAAGCAAGATGCCACAAGATTCATATCCTGAAATTACTTTCAAAGAGTTTTATTTTTTTATTAGGACAAAACCTCAATAAAGGAAGTGTGACTGTGTGAGTTTGAGTCAGAGGGAGTCGAATGAATTGTCTCTCTCATTGACTGAGGAGTACACATTATATGCAGCATATACACTTAATCAGATCGCACTAATCTCGCTTGCAAATCCGGGTAAAAGAATAAAATAAAATTAGAACGGTCAAGGGGAAAGAAATCAGGAAATAAAATAAAACTAATTTTCCTCATTAACCATCGGGATTTGAGCACCATTGCTATTGGGATTTCCACAGCAAGACTCTGCTAACGGTATTTTTTTGACTTTTTTATTAAAAAATCATCTAAAAATTGTATCAAGTTTTATCCTTTTCAATCTAGGTCAAGTTATCAGAGAAGCATTTTCTACTTATCTATAATTCACACAAAGAAACTCATAAAAATACCTCTTCCAAGTTGTCACCAGAAAAATTAGGCTCAGCCAGCCTTGAATAAACAGTTCCCTCATATCTTCTTTCCATTACTCATATCATCCTAAAATTAGCAAAGCATATGCAAGCACGTGTAAAATATATAAAATAATAAAATAAAGTTAACAATATAAGCATGTCAAAGATATTTAGGAAGCAAGAAAAGCCTTACCAGCTCAGATTTCAGCAACCCAATCTCCTCCTCTAAGTCTAAGATATGATGTTTTAGTGCCTGCAAACATAAGCAAAAAAGATTAAAGAACGAATATATGTGTGTGTATATAAGGTCTCAGTTCACTGTTTAATCACATGTTATTGCATTGTTACCTCACGTCTTTGAAGCTCAATTGATCGAGCTAATGCCTGCCTTCGAGACAACAAATTCTCAGGTTTCAGAGCATGTGGACGGAGGTAGTTCTTTCCACGATAAACAATAATTACATAGCCTTTAGGAGTTTTATCCACAGACACTAACACCCCACCACTTTCAGCCTCCAAAGATATTGCAATATGCTTTACTTGGGCAGAATTTTTTCCATTTACAATTATCTTCACCAACTCACGGTACTTCCAGTGTAGATGCATGTTTTCTATGGTACCAGAATAAACATCTCGCCTACCTGAAACAAAAATGTCGTGCATCAGATATCTCAGTATGTAAATAAATGTTCCACAAACGAGAAACTATTTATGAAGCTCAAAACAATTTCCTATTCTTACCCAGAAGTAAATATGGCTTCATACTCAGACCAATCTTCCGGAATAAGAATCTCTCTTCATTAGTTAGTGTTTCCAAATCATTTGGAAGATCTGCTGGCTCCAAACCATCCTGCATTTTTGCTAGAGTCCTCTCAGCCTTCTTGACCCTCGCTTTAGCCTAAAATCCACCAAAAGTTAGATAGATATGGTAAAATAAGACTGAAGAATTCTCCATGATTTGTTGGACTTGGACCCTCAGTAACTCACATGAGCTAATTTATTCTCAAGGTTTTTTATTATAGAAGTCAGTTTGCTTGTAGCTGCATCTCTCCTCATTTTCTCAACTTCTTGGCTACTTCGTTGATGTCCCCACTGGGTGGTTGCTGCCTTTGTTTCAGCAAGGGTGCCAGCAACTAATGGAACTCGAGAAGCTTTTCCATCAGAGCTAATCAATGATGAAGCAATTTGTCGCACTTGATCTTCTTCATCTTGCTTGAGAAGGGCTAGTTTCTGCCTCTCAGTCAATGCCTCTGTGACAGCAGGTGGCAAGAAGTCATTGCCCCTATAAAATACGATATAATCCTTATTTCTTGAAAGTAGAGTCCCCCCAGTCAATTTCTGCATGCATGAAATGCATTAGTCATCAGTATGAATCAAATCGTTTCACTGGGGTATGTCATATACCCAGTGATAGAATGATCCCCCCCTCCAATGCAACTACACAGGCAAATGGGTCGGGATTTTCCAAGTACCAATAGTCTTCATAGTCTTGAAAGAATGAAGCAAATATTATAGTCGGCACCAAGAAAGTCTAATTTGTCAGAAACAGCAAAGGTCTAAGTAAGAAATCCTCAGGGTGTTAAGTCCATGTAAGTCATTAGGGAACCCCAAAATTTTTGGAAAAAAATATAGACTGATGTAAGCGTAAAAAACGCAATAACCTTACTTTCATCATGTGATTCAAAATAAAATCTATGAAACTCACACACGTACATAGTTTACTTTGACCTAGATATAATAAGCATGCCTAGGCAATAATTAGAACATATAGGCACCCATGACTTTCTTTTACTCTTCAGACTTTATAAAATACTCTGATATTCTCATTCCCAGTTAAGACCAGGGTAACAAAACCATTCAACTCTCGTCTTTCTCAGTTTTTTTTCTGGTGCAACACATGGTTATTTAGTTGTGGGGGAAATCCTTTATTCAGTTATGGAAATTTGGTTATGGACGGATTCATTGTGCACGACTGCCTGTTAGTGAAATTAATTCATTAGTTGCGCTCCGCAAAGAAGTTAAGGCAGTAAACTTCTAGTTGCTAGAGCAATGCTAAAAATAACCAAATAAGACAGGCATTAATTAAAGACATAGGCACGTTTTATTGCCAAGTGTTCTTTTTCTCCAACATATAAATCATACAGAAACAATTAAAGGATTTAAATCCTGTGAAGTAGAAATTGGTGACCAATTTAGGTGAAGTTTTCTTTTTTCAGTATTTTCTCTCATTTTATTATTCTTTGATAAAATATAAAATCTTCTCTCTCTTTCTTAAAAAGGGAAACTTCACAAAAATTCACTAATCCCAACTTCAGAGAATTTGAATCCCAGATTAAATGGGCATAGAAACTGAAATCTCGTCCCCAGTATTCACATATGCAAATAGCTAGGTCTCATTAAATGCAAAGTCAAAGCAATGGCTAGTTTCATAGACATTTTGTAAATCTTCAAGAACATTAAATCACAATTCTGTTCTCAAAATCCCAGCTCAAATTAGGCATTGAGGCATACCTTGAGTTCTTCCGCCATCCTCTCATTCATTGTATTGAGAACACCACGTTTAATGGCTATTTTTGCAATTGCACTTCTTTCCCATAGCTTCAACATAGCATTAGCCAGACCTTGCAGCTCCCTGTTTCTACCTGCAGTTTTAAAGTGATAACATTAATTTTGGAATACATTGCAACCAGGGGCAGAGTAGAATTCGATTATTTTGTTCCTTGAATACCAAGGGCAAAGTGTGGAGCCATAGTTCTTGCAAGTCTTCGAAAATTAGTCATCTCCTTGTCTCTTAAACCAGGTCTTACCCCGTGAGGAAGAAGTCTGAATGGAGTTTTATATCCTGGAACCACACCAGGTAATAAGTCTGCATCAACAGGTAATGGTTCACGGCCAGACCAATCTTTGAAACGTGGCCCTAACTCATCTAACAAATCGTTGAGGTCAATCAGTTCCATGTATTCTTCTTCAGATAAATTCTTCAAATAATTTGTAGAGTCTGGCATAGATGGATGCTTAGTTCTAACTTGTTCATTCAGTCTGACTCGTGCATGATTCCCAACATCATCTGAGTGGAGCGCAGTATTCACATTAGCATGGTTTAGTTTGGTATACGTTTGTACACAGGGAAGGTTGTAGCTCGACTGTCTATATAGCACTACAGAACTGCCTGATCGCCATACCACCAAGCCTCCAGTTTTTCTCTGATTATAAAGGTAATTTAGTTATGAATTTATATGACAACCTAGAAATAGAAGGATATGCATGACCAAAAGAAAGCCCTAGAAAATTAAGGTTTCATCTCAAGCCATGAAACCTTAGGTTGATCCACTGCACGGGTGACGAACAGCAGAATATGTCATTAAAAGTTTTCAAATCTGATAACATGCTAAATTAACAAAGGAATAGAAACTAAACATTCATCAAAAAGAAGAGAGGATTGAATGAACTGACCTCTAAAATCTGATGAGCCCTTCTCATGTTAGCTGCAAGAGGACCTTCAAACTTCAACTTCACAACTTCATCCTCCCTCCACTTGGCATGAATTGAATCCACCAATTCCTGCGTTATGCCCGCCACTCCAACATCGATTCTCTCCACCATCCTCAAGGCAATATTTCTAAGCCTTCGCAATTCATGTTCGGGAACCAGCTTATCTGCTAACTCCGTGCTGCTTCTCCTTTTTCTATCTCCTTCACGACCCTCCACTTCATTCACTCTACGGGATAGCAAATTGCCAGCGTCCTCAATTTCTTCATTCAACCTGCGAACATCACTATGATCTCTCTCGTCGCCATTCGTCTTGTCCTTCGAAAATATTTTCTTTCCTTCCACTGAGAGGATGGTCTCTCTTGCTGCCTTAGCCGCACCTGGACTGCCATGACCATCGTATAGTTCTCTATCAACTTCGTCATCACTTCTATCATCTCCAAAAAACTCTTTTTCAATAATAGATCCAGTAACATTATTTTCGAAAATTTGTTTATCGTTCTCGGCAATATCAGGTTCAGAATCAACCTGTCTATCGAGGGGTTGGACGCCTTGATGCCAGGGAGAAAGAAAATTACGAGATTGGGAACTCACAGGATGAATAACTGAACCTTTCACTTCTACCATAGATTCAGATAAATAAGGCCCAGAAGACTCCTGGACCCCTCCTCCGTCCTCTTCTTCTTCTTGCTGTTCTGGTTCTTCCCACGGGAATTTTTCCCTCGGTGAGCTCAATTTGAGGGACCATTTATCGCGAATTTGCTCAAAAAAACTTGGTCTAGCACTATTCTTCTTCTTCTTGTATCCTTCTGATGTTACCTTCACTCGTTGGGGTTGTTCAGCGTCAACCTGAGCTGTCTGGTTAGAGCAAGAAACTCTAAATTTGAAAGCCACGGAACTACTAGAAGAGCATAGTTGACGTTGAAGGGGAAGAAAATGTAGAGAAGAGGAGCAGGAGAATGCAGGAGAAGCAGAGGATGAAGAAGACAATGGAATTGGCGGACGCGCCATTGCTTGCTTCAATGGCGTTTGGCAAGTTCTACAGAATTTGGCGGAAAGACGAGGTGTGGATTGAGAAGGGGATGATGCCATTTGTTGGGCCAGGCTAACATTATTAAGAATCAGTTTAAAATAGGCCCATCATAATATAGAGTGGCCCAGCCCAGACTAAATTCGTGGTCTTTTGGGAGAGAAACGACAATCTGTCATGTGTCCCAAAGGAGACATGCGCCAAAACCAACAGATATATGCCAAAAAAAAGACGACCATCTGTAATGTGATCTTTTAGAAGATTGAACCTAGCAGAAGAGATTAATCCTTTATAATATAATTAATTAAGATACAAATTTTTACCTCAAATAAAATTATCTATAATATAAAGATATCTATGGATTGAAAAAAAAAAAAACATTTGGAAGCATGGTAAGTAAAATGTTATACTCTTGACATCTTTTATATTTTGTATTGATGGTGATTGATCGATGTTTTTTTAGCAAAAAAATCCTGTATAACTTTGCTTAAGCCAGTAGAAGTGATTATGAAGTACATTTTCACTGTCTAAGTTTTTTTTTTTTTAATCCCACCAATCGTGAGGTGGATTTTTTGCCGCACGTTGGGTGTAATCTATTAAAATATGGAAGTGTTCAAAAAATCATGATTGGGTCTTTATTAAATTATATTTGATGATAACATTTATAGAAAATTTAACAATAAACAATTTCACAGAAATCACACTTTTAATTAATTATACATCTAACCAGGGTTTTGATGAATATAATTTAAATAGAGCTAACTTTTTCATAATCACTTAAAAAAAAGAGAGAGAGTATCTAGTCAAAAATCATGATTTATCAACATTACTTAGGTCACTTTTAAAAGTCATCGTTATGTATAATCTCATCCATTCAACTCTAATCCAAACTAGACAGGCACTAGATAGATTGTGGACTAACTTGCAATTTTTTGTTTTTATCAAAGAGCCTGTTGTATACGTAGGTTAATATTATGACCTTTGAATGTGAATATTACAATTTTACTTTTTTTAATTAATAAAAATAAATACTAAATATATAAAATTAAGTATATAATTTTTTCTTTTAATATTAGTAATTATATTATTTTTTATATATAGGGAGTTAACTTGAGCCAAGCCTGAAAAGGTTAGGGTCAAGTTCTCTATATAGGCTTTTTAAAAGAAGTAGAATACTTTAAGTCTGATTTGAACAAGCTTGGCCCGAATAAGCTTGACTTTTAAAATTTTTATCTCTATGTGTATGTAGAGCAGGTTATTTTGGCCAAGCCCAATGGGCCAATTCGAACCTGATCAAGAAAAATTAAGATCAAATTTAATTATATGAAATTTTAAAAAAAATAAAATACTTTGAACCTGATTTGAATAAGTTCAACAAAATTGAGTCCATCTTGCCTGAATTACTGGCTCTAATTGTCAGTCATGTTAATACATACATGTAAATGGAAAACTAACAATAGCTCAATACTTTTTTCTTTGTAGGTTAATAATTATTTATTATATTGAATTATTGATGAGGTTAGATGAGTTTTTACAAAAATCTTGTTGGAGTCTGGGATTTGAGATTAATCCAAACCGTTCATTATTATTTTTTTAATATCATTTGCTTGATCATCGGGACAATCTCACCCAAGGCCTCAAAACAAAAAAAAAAATACACTTAAGAATCAATATATTCTAAAATTATTTTGTAAGTCTAAGTACTTGTTTTGCAAATATATTTAAAAAAAATACACAATTATCTTTAGTGAGAAAAGAAGAACTTCGCTCATTGTCAAATAATTACTCGTTGATATATGAGTTTAAAATTGTGAATTTGTGATATTTAATTATAAAAATTTGAATTTATTATCATAATAAACCTTATAAATTCTGAATTTTGACTTGTGAATAAAATGAATATATTTTATAAATATTTAAATTTTAAATTGTAAATTTATTAATTGATTAAGACAAATTTTAAGTTATTAATATGTAGATATAAAGTTGTGAATAAATGAACATATAATTTTATAAGTCTAAAGTTGTTGTCATAATAAACTTTAATTTTAAATATAAGAAGTTATAAATTATGAATTTTAACTTATAAATAGATAAATATGTATTTATAATATTTAAATTTTAAATTTTAAATTTATTAAATTGGTCAAGACGAATACTTCAATTCAAAATAAAAATTTTATTTTTAATAAATAATTATTTATTAATATGAGAATTTAAAATTATATATTCATGAATATGTAATTATAAAAATTTAAATCTATATTTATTGCCTTTTTTCCATTAAAGGCAATTATGGTCTTTCTTTTTAGCACATATTCGAAAAGGAAGGAACCCTTGAGCCTATAAAATAATTTTAGAGCGCATTTTGCTCGAAGTGCAATTTTTTCCCCCTTTGGGCGCCTAGACGAGATTGTCCCTTGATCATTTCCTTTGCTGAATTGCTCGCATACTCAGACTGTGCCGTCTTTTGCTTCGGGAAGATCATATTCATACATAGCATTCCTAAGAACCTCACCGTCTTCTTCGTAGGCGTGCTCTCGTAAACCGAACTGTTTACTCCTCGTTCTCCCATACACTAGGCAGCTGAAAGGAGAGCTCAAGCTTTGACTTAGTTCTGCCATGGCGGAGCCGATTCGAGTACTATACTGCTCTGTTTGCAGTTTGCCCCCTGAATACTGCGAATTCGGACCCGATTTCGACAAATGCAAACCCTGGTTGGTCCAAAACGTACCGGACCTATACCCGGATCTTCTAAAAGGTCGTTTGCATTTTTCTTGATTTCATCCCTTTCTAGTAAAACTCAGTTTTGATCCTCCGGAAGGCTGTTCTAGTACCATTTGCTCTCAAATAATTTTTGTATCGCTTTGGTGCTGAATGTTTGATTTTTGTTTTAACAGCACTTTGCAATATTTCCGTTATGAGATTGAAACAAAATCAAATTCTTAAAAGCTTTTTGACTAATCCAATTGATCGTGAGGCATCGTTGGAGGACCTAAATGGAGTTTTATTCGTTATTTTCAATAATAGTAATCTGTTCCAAGTAATTTGTTTATATCCTTTTCTTGGGTGTTGTGAGTTTTGACTCGTGTCCCCCCGCCCTTTTTCCAGAGGCTAATGAAAAGGAAGCTGATAAAGTTGCTGAGAAGTTGCAGAATAACAGTATAGCTTCTGAGGCTAGTGATGGAGCCGCTACCTCAGGTTAGCTCTCTTGTTGCTTTGCTCAAAATTTTGTTTTAGCTGTTTCCTATGCTTAAGGACTTTGCAACTTGCTATTATCTCCTAAAACTTCCGAAAAAAAATTGAGCCATTTACCAATCATTACCCATCACTTGTCATTTGTTATAATTTGCACATGGCAAATTTGTCCAACAATTCCGCGCATTTCTGGTTGAAATTACAAGAATGACTTTTGATGCGGACATTGAACTAGCTGAAGCTGGAAGTTTCCTGGTTCTTTTGGAGGGATCAGAAGTTGTGCTTGAAGGTGAAAGAAGAGAATAACTTATGTAGTGTCACGAAAGAATAACGGAAAGGAATTACATTTATGGCTTGACTGGGAACATGGTTTGAGCATCCAAACCATTAATTGGATGTTCAAAAGCTAATAGGCTGAATTGGGCTAGGATGATTTGGGACCCATTTTAACACGCTGTCATCATTCCAAATTGGAGGCTTTTGGATGGTTATAATGTTTCCGTTCCTTTTTTAAAAGCAGTTATTGATAATAGTGTGGAATGAGTTATAAAGCAGTTTAGCAACTACAAGTCTATAACCAAGGGTGAGTGAAGTTGGCAGTTGGTGTTGTAAGATGCACCTCCTTTTTTTCTTTTTCAACTCCAATATTAGGGCAACAATTGGTCTTTAAGAAATTGTACTTGTGATTGATAGCTTTCCTTGGCTAAATCTTGTCTTACTATTTCAGAATTTGGATACATTCATTGTAAATGCTATGTAGTTCTGGTTGCATCCATTAATAATGCGGTACATTTAATTAACAAACCACCAATGTTTTCTTATAATTTTTCTTTCATGGGATCAATGAAAATGAAGATTCTCATTCATTTCAGATCTGACTTGTCATGGCATCCCTGTGAATTTTGACGTTCTGTTTGATATGTATCATATAAATTTTGATCAGTGATTTGGCTATAGACCAAAACTTCATATACTGCATGCCTATTGGTTATAGAAATGACATTATAAAGCCACCCTCTTTGAATCATTTGATGTTCCAGCACCCAAGCAAGAAGATGTAAAACGTCTTCCGGGTGGGAAAATAAAGAAAAAGGTATTTCTTTGAATTTTTGCACCCTTTTGAATCAGAAATTCCCATTGTTATGACACTGAACATTATCGTTGTAATCAGTTCATATGATGAGAACTGACCTTTTCCCCATCTTCAGGATAAGAAAGAGGTTGTTATTGAAAAGGTCATACGAAACAAACGAAAAAGCATCACAACTGTCAAAGGCCTGGACCTTTTTGGTGAGCCATACTTTGCCGTAAAGTTTTCCCTGATTACAAGATCTTATATTGTTGATGTCATTGTTGTCATTAACTCATTCTCTCTCATCACATTTCAGGTGTCAAACTCAGTGATGCTTCAAAGAAACTTGGGAAAAAGTTTGCAACAGGAGCTTCTGTTGTCAAGGTTTTTCTGTTATTAGATGATGGACACATGATTAATTCTTCAATAGAAGATTGTGGTGTCTTACAGCGTTTTGTATTGTTTGGTCTCAGGGACCGACTGAGAAAGAGCAAATTGACGTTCAAGGGGATATATCATATGACATTGTGGAGTTCATTACAGAAACTTGGCCTGATGTGAGACATTTTGATTATCAGTTGTTTGATTGATATTGTAATCTGGCTGAATTTATATTTCTATAGTCAATATGGGAAAAAAGGAAGAAAAGTCGAGCGATCTCATCTCAGTGAAATTATCGTTCATAAATTCACTTGGTTATTTATGGCTGAGAAACTAAAATTTCAGGAAAAAATGTGCTTGTCGAGAGGAATGATGTAAATGCTTGACAAGATTTTTTTAATCTGCATAATATAATACCTATGTAATTCTATTTCTTGTATGTCAAGTTGTAAAGACAACAGTGAATGCTATACTGGAATCTATTGGAAATATGGATGTGTAAAACTACAACTGAAAAAGGGACGGGGCTGGTTTTTTTTCACAGTTCATAGTCTAATTGTTAAAGTGGTGAATTGTTTTCTTGTAATTTTAACAAAACGTGTGCTTTTATTGATGGCAATGCATGTACTCTGATTCTTCATAGTTTCATTAGTTCCATTTACGTCTAGAATTTGGAGCATTTATATGATTGACATGATGTCTTTCTCATGCAGGTCCCAGAAACTGCAATTTTCTTTATAGAAGATGGCAAAAAAGTTCCAGCTGTTTAACTTTGAAATCTGGATATGCTCCTCGTTGCAGCTGTACTTTTGAAGGATTGTGCTATGAACTTACTTAAGCAGTGAACTTGAACAATATCTTTGGCCAATGAGGTCTATTTGTTGATGATCCCCTTGCGGTATCAACATGTGTTCAAAATGATACTGTTCTTGAATAGAAGGGTTGTGTGTAAAAGCAAGATGATCAGGGTACTAGCAATGCGGTTTTTGGTTAGGTGAGAGATGCTGAGAATATTTTTGGTGGACAAATTTTCTTAATTTATAGTTGAAGAATTCCTTAGGCTGTTTGGTATTCTGGAAGCATTTTGAAGGAAATGGAATTGGAAATGGTGGTGGAAAAGAAAAATGAATTGGGTTCGAAAGTGTAGTTTGGTGTGCTGGAAAATTTAAATGGAATTCTTGTACTAAAAAAATGTTATAAATTAATAAATCTATTTATAAAATTAATTATCACCCAAAAATTCACTTCATCTCCCAGTTCTTGCTCCTCAAACATCTGTTATCGATCTTCACATCATTTCCTATCACCTTCTGTTTAAGAGCTTCGATGGTGGATGACAATGGAGAAGTTTCACCTCCTATCTCAGAGCTTCAATTTTGGAGGACGAGAGAGAAGCTTCGATGGAGGACTACGAGGAAAATTTGGAGAAAGTTCCTCATCACCGGCATCTTCAACTTCATAGTATCCTTATCACCACCAATATCTTCGAACTTGGTTGCAAGGAGAAGCAGATATGAAACAAAGCAAAACAAAGGAGCTTGGTTGGATTCCAAGCAAGCGAAAGAGGAGGTGAGAAGCTCTATCGAAGGAGGGACGTGATTGCTTGGCCAATGAAGAAGGAGCTCAAAGAAACCGAAGTGTCTTGGAATTTTGAGAAATCATTGAAGGTTTTTTGGTCCACAAAATTAATTTCCTAGGGGTTTGAGGTGAGAACCAAATTTTCATTTTTTTCTTGAATTTCAATTTCCAAGCATTAAATTTCATGTCAACTAATTTAAAAAAAAATTTACTGATTCCTTTTCCTGAAGCTTATTTCTAGCAAACCAAATGAGACCTATTTCTTTCTTTTTTTCCCCATTAATTTTATGTCTGTATATACTTTTTGTAAATTTGTTACCAGTTCTACCAGTAATGTGGATGAAAGTTTACTCAATGGATGCTAAGCATAGAGGTCCAAGGTTGGATGGAGTCTTGGAGATAGAAGTTACCCCTCTCTCTCTCTCTCTCTCTCTCTCTCTCTCTCTCTATATATATATATATATATTCTATGGAAGAAGTGATGGTTTGATGTCTATAATATATTCAGTTAAAAATAAATAGAGGATAGCGTTAAAAAAAGGAAAATAAAATTTTGTAAACACTTTTAGTTTTTTCTATTCGCTTTTTAAATGAATAATTATTAGTTATTAGTTATAAATAACATAAATTAGAAACGAAGAAGGGAATTTTACAAAAAATGTAGAAAGGTTAACTCAAGTTTTATGTAAATGGATGTGTTTACTCTAGTTTTTATTAAAAAGTAACTGATGAATAAATTTAGTTAATTTTTATAAGAATTGATTAAATGAATTCAGATTAATAAAAATATAAATGGCTCACTTCATTTGAAAAATTATCGCGTGACAAATTTATACTTTTAAAAAATATATTCCATCTATTTAAAAATATAAGACATGATTAATCGAATCTCATTCTTTAATAAAATAATTATTTATTTTTTAATTAATTTTATCTTTTTATATTTTTCTATTAAATATTCTACAGTAAATATAAAATTATTTATTAATAGAGGTATTTTTTAAAAAAATAATAATTAAAAAATTAAAAATATTTTATATTTTTAAATTAAGGGAGGATGAATAACACCCTTTCAGTATATATAGCAATAACTGCCTGTGCTTTCAAACAGAAAAATAGTTTTTCAAAAAGTATTTGTAATTAAAAAAAATGATATAGTATAAATATGAATCCGGTTAGTTCTTAGGCACTGGAGCTTCTTCTCCTCCCCGATTAGTTTCACCCAGCTACTATTGTACACGATGGCTCCGAGAATCCTACTATGCGGCGACGTTATGGGCTGCCTCAACCAGCTCTTCAAGCGTGTTTCATCTGTTCGTTCTTGTTTTTTTAACCTCTTTCTTGGTTTGATTCCTTGCCTTGCTCTTTTGCCATTTCATTGAATTCAATTATTCTGTACAGGTCAATAAATCGGCTGGTCCCTTCGATGCGCTTTTCTGCGTGGGTCAATTCTTCCCGGAGTCTTCCGACCAGCTGGACGAGTTCATGGACTACATTGAGGGTCGAGCGCAGGTTCCTCTTCCGACTTACTTCATCGGCGACTATGGCTTCGGTGCGCCTAAAGTTTTATTAACAGCTTCTAAGGAGCCGGCAAACTGTGGCTTCAAAATGGATGGCTTGAAGGTTTGCGAGAATTTGTATTGGTTGAAAGGCAGTGGCAAGTTCTCCCTCTTGGGTATGTTTGTTGCTTGACTAATATGAAATTTCTACTTTTTACCTAAGTCATGTTCTTTAATCCTATTGTTAGAAGTAGCTTGAAGAGCCTAGCTGTCCGACTCTGTTCGGCTGCATCTCAATCATTGAAGATTTTTGTTTTTGTTTCGTTCTTTGAGAATATCATTGATAACCATCAGTTTTCAAGTTTAATTATTTCAATATGCCCTTTTAGCGACGGGCTTTTATGTTTCCGGCAATGACCACAATGTATGAGATTATTTATTTGAGTTGAACATCTGGCCAAATTTTGGCGCACATCTTTTTCTGTGTTTTTAATAGTGTGTTTTTGGGAACCCAGAGACTGTAGTTTACAATTTTTTGATCAAGGGATTAATTTACCTGATCACTTTTGTAAAAGATTGATTGATTTGATGGCATTTTGAAGAACGAATCTCATTTTGAGAATTTGATTTTTCTTGCATCTTATTTACTACGTCGTATGTAGGGTTATCTATTGCCTACTTATCCGGTAGACAATCATCAGATGTTCAACAGTATGGAGTTTACAGCCAAGATGATGTTGATGCTTTGAGAGCAGTAGCTGAGGAACCTGGAATAGTCGACTTGTTCTTGACATATCCTTAATTTGTATGCGTGATTCCTCATCAATATATATTATAGCCCTAATGCCACTTGATTGTCTCTTAGAAATTAATCTAGTTGTAGGATTTCCTTAATCAGTGATCACTAATGAATGGCCTAGTGGGGTCACAAATAGAGCAAATGCTTCAGACGTTCCTGCTGGACTTTCAGATTCCATGGGGAGTGACTCAACCGTAGCAGAGTTGGTGGGAGAGATTAGACCACGGTTTGTATCTCTATAAACATTTAGAGTTTGGATGGATATCTGGTATTATGTACTCTCCTCCCTCTCCCTCTCCCTCTCCCTCTCCCTCTCTGCTTTGATACCTTTTCAAACAAACTTTTATGGGCAATCTTTTAGTTGAAATGGACTTCAGGATGCACTAGTTCCTCAACAAAACAATTGAAATAATAGTTTAGATGCTTTCTTGGTACTTGTATACTTAGATTTCTTTGTTCATATTTTGCACTTTTGCTTTTGACAGGTTTATATCTCAAGTTCCTTGTTTGACTGGGTGACTTTGTCTCATTCTCACATCATGTTTATAAATTTGTTATTAGAGAGAAATATTGGCTATTATATTTGCAATCCAGATGTAACTGGAGATGACAATCTCACAATTGGTTAAAACAATGGGGATTTGGTTGGACAGGTACCCAGAAGATTAATTGTAAACTTGGAGGGTCCCTCAGGAAAATCTGATTTGTTGACATTTATTCTTATATTTCTAATGGCTTAGAATCTAACCCTATCACTTTTGCTGGAGAAATTTGCTATAAACATGCCTTTGCATGCTCTCTTGTGGCCTTATACACTTTTGCTTTTAGCTATCACATTTCAGGTACTAAAGGTATTTACTATGCTCGTGAACCTTATTCTAATATTGAAGCCGTGCATGTGACTCGTTTCATAGGGCTTGCTTCTGTTGGAAATAAAGATAAGCAGGTGTAGTCTTTGGATACTTCTATGCTATCAGTAAATTGTCCTTTCTTGAAAAAATTATATATCCTTTATTGTTACTTATGATAATTGTAATTTTTTTTTCCTAGATATTAAGATTCCTCAATTAGTGCAATAAGGCTTTGTGGGATCAGTCTTGTTGTTGTATTAGGATTCTTCAATTGGTCTTGCTAGTGAAATGTGTGATTTCCTGCACAAAATGGGTGCGTCTGTGCGTCTGTGCGTTTGTGTGTGCGTCCGTCTGTCCATGTGTCCGTCCGTCACTGGTTGCACTTGTTGTTCGTAGACTTGTATATTCAGCTGTTGGGAAAAAGAATTATTTACTGCACTAGTTGCACTTGTCATTCGTAGACTTGTATATTCAGCTGTTGGGAAAAAGAATTATTTACTCTATTTCTGGATCTCTGGAAAATATGAACCTGTCATTTTAGGTGATAATTTATTTTTTAACTGAAAGAATGGTTGCTTTTCATTGCTGTAAAATCTTTCTTCCCATCTGCTTTCCAGAAATTTATTCATGCAATTTCTCCCACGCCTGCATCCACCATGTCCTCAACTGAGATTGCCACGAAAACCACCAATACCACCTTATCGCCATACACATTTGTGGAGAAAGGAAGTTCTCCCAAGGACACCACAAAGAGATCCAGTGATAGTGTCTCTGATTCTCAATATTGGAGATATGATGTTTCTCAAAAGCGACAGCGACATGGAGCTGGAGATGGTGATAAATTGTGTTTTAAATTCTTGTCCTCTGGTTCTTGTCCAAGGGGACAAAAGTGCAATTTTCGACATGATTTTGATGCTAGGGAGCAGTACATTAGAGGTGTTTGTTTTGATTTCTTAAACAAAGGGAAATGTGAAAGGGGTCCAGATTGCAGCTTTAAGCACAGCTTGCAACATGAAGGGGAGAATTATGCTGACAGGAGGCCAAGATCTGAAAATTCTAGTTCTAAAAGGTTAGCCTTCTAAGTTTTGACATTATTTTCTATAATGAATTTTTTATCTGTTTTATTTATTAATGTTTCCCACGTTTTGAGAATTATTCGGTTGTGCCAATACTAATGTAGGAAAATCTCTATCTAGAATTTTTTTCATATCTGTTAGCTTAATTCTTCCATTGTCACGAACTTTTGGGCTTTTTTGGTCATTAACTTTCTAATTTCGATCCTATTATACATGTGTAGGTCAAAAGAGTGCTGGTTTTGCTTGTCAAGCCCCAATGTGGAGTTACATTTGATCACTAGCATTGGTGAAAATTACTATTGTGCATTGGCTAAAGGTCCAGTAGTTGAAGATCATGTACTACTAATACCAGTTGAGCATTTGCCAAATACATTGTCACCGTCAGCAGAACACGAAGTTGAGCTTAGTAAATTCCAGAACAGCCTAAGGATGTACTACAAGAGTCAAGGAAAGCAAGTCATCTTTTTTGAGTGGGTTTCCAAACGTAGTAGTCATGCCAATCTTCAGGTAAAATTAATTTCTGTTGCAGCGTGCACTTGGGTGAAATCCTGACAAGAGTGAGTGCTTGGTACGTATCTGTCGAATCTATTAAATAAGCAAGCTTGCCTTCCTCTGCCCTCACCCCACACCACTCAAAAATTGTATAATTTGAGTAATTAGTGTGTGGTATGCTACATGGATTTTGAAAAATGAGAATCACTGGTCTTGGCTCACGAATGATGTGGTATGTTAGAGTTTTATAGATATAGATTTCAGTTTTAATATATACTCGGGTGAAACCATGTTTTGTTAGCTAGCTTTTGTGCAGCTTTAATTGACAGGTGTAAGCTGTGGATGGCATTTTGTTTTTTTCTCTCTTCATGACTATATCAAGTCAACCTTGAGATGATAAATTGTAGTTTTGATTCTCTTGTTAAAACTATAATTCCTCTTGTTCATGTAGGTTGTTCCTATTCCAAGTTCCAAAGCAGCACTGGTTGAAAAAATATTCAGTTTAGCAGCAGAAAAGTTAGGATTTAAATTTGTGGCTAAGAAATGTAAGTATTCATGTTTCAGTTCTTGTTCTGAGCTGCATCTGTTAAGCTCTCTACCCCTTTCCCACTTTTAAATTCTTGTCTGTTAGAGGCATGGCCTTGCTTCATGTCCTGGCTTACTGATGCTGCTAATTTTTTGACTTGAAAAATTGTGAACAACTGTTTTATTCTTTTATTTTATTTATTTATTTATTTTGCTTCTGCTGCATTTTTTATGTTTTTCTTCATTACTACTTTTCAGTTGATAGCGATTCTGATGGAAGAAAATTTTTGAGGGCACAATTTGATGGAAATTCAAGTTTGTTCTATGTTGAACTACCAGGAAGCACGATATTGTTGCATCAGATTGAAGATAATGAGAAATTTCCTTCCCAATTTGGTCGTGAGGTAGGCTTGTGAAAGAGATTTGCTAATATTAGTTTACTTTCTCCACATTTTTTTATAGGAGAGGATGTCCTTTAGCTGTATGTTTTTGTTATATGGTTAATAACTGTTGTATTTATCAATAAGAGGGTGTGATCTGTAAATATGATGAATCAGGTTGTATCAGGCTTGCTTAATATAGCGGATAAGGCAGATTGGAGGAATTGCAAATACAGCAAGGTGGAAGAAACAAAAATGGTTGAAGATTTTAAGAGTCGATTTCAAGAATTTGATCCAAACTGTTGATCATTCATTCACCAAATTCTCTATGTACAACCACCACACCATCATGATCATTGTGGTTCTAAGTCTTGGTAATATGTCGATTGCTTGAGATGCTGCATGTTTGACTCTCACAATCAGCTAAATTTGAACGTTTTACCTTCTATAATTTCTGTTTAGGTGATTTCATGATCACATTGGACGTGATTTGATTACTTGGTATTACCAGTCCTATGGTCATATTCACCTTCATTAGGCTGATTGTCTGTAACTTGTGCCTCTCCAAACGTGGGTGAAGTTTGATGTGCAACCTTACGCACACTGCTTACTTAAGGTGGGAGTGGTCCATGGTGCTGGACTGCTGAAGTTCATATCTTAGTATTCTACTTGCATACAGTGGATAATAAGCAGTTGTCATGATCTTGAAACTTCCCTCACAATCTTTAGCTTGCGGAGGAGCTTTGTTAATGCATAGATACACACAGGTTGGATGTCCAACTGCTCTATACAAGAAGTTGATAATGGTTTATTTGTTGGGAAAGATAGGGAGGCTCAGGTTTTGGAGGTGGTTGTTTCCTCAGCTAAATATGTAACTTGTTATGGATCTTACAAAATTTACACTTGCAGTGAACTAGAATTTGTATTTGTAATGTGCAACTTACAAATAGAGAATTTTCTTAGAGTTCATAATCTTGTGGTACTCCAGTTCTATTGTTGTTTTGGTCATTATTATGTGGGATGGAGTCTTAGCTATTATTGTTACCTCTCATATATTAGGTTGTTTGCTAAATTTGTAGCTCCGTATGATATTCCACTTTAATTCACTAACAAAAATTTTATAACACAAGGTCATATCATATTTAAGGCAAAATGAGTTTCATTAAGATGTCTCTAAGTATTATAAAGCAGTCTTATGAGATTCATGTTTCTTTTTGATATATTGCCTCAGAAAAATGTCTTGTAATGCCCAAGAGAAAAAGCTAAGTTCAATTTCATGAATGAAAAGCTTGCAGCATTCTGTCATTTTTATGGGCTTTTCACAAAGGAAAAAACTCGTATATTTATTTTGTATATTTAAAATATTTGTTTTTAATTAAAATAAGACATGTAAATTTTTTATAAATTATTTTTTTTGTGATAAAATTTTATTGTTAATATTATTAATATATTAAAATTTACTTGTTTTAATTTAATTAGATAATATATTAAATATATAAAGTTAAGTAAATAAATTTTGCCTTTTTACAAATAGATATATTATTTTAAAAGCATAATAAATGCTGGCCAAATTTAAAATAAATATGCTCTTTAGAATGCAAAAGAGGGTCAAAATAAATACTTTATCCATGATTTTAACAGAACAAGTTCCTTGATTTTTGTAGAGTAACAAATATAGTATTCCAAGTTAAATTTACAAGCTTTAATTAATTTCTTAAATAGTGCAAAAATACCTTCTTATTTTTATTTCATTATATGAGTCTTATGTTTCATCAATAATTCAAGCTTTTTTTAATACCATAAAAAATCTTAATTGTTCATCAAAAGTATAATTTGCTATATACTTTATATTTTATATTAATTTATTTTCCTATAAATTATAGTTGAAAAAACATTTTAATATATTTCAATGTTAAAATGTCCTTCGCAGACCACTTGGTTTAGGCTTCTTGCAAAATAAAATATTGAAACGAAAATAAAATTATTAATTAATTAAATTTTGAAAGATTATTAATCACTTAATTAAAATATTGATTTACCCTCAATTTCAAGCACGGTCAATGCCATTCGAGGCTTTGCTCGCGACTGTGGCGTTGCGTCTGTAAGGCTATAAGCTGCTTCTAGCTGGTTCCGAGTTCGGCTTTGGGTGAGGCTCTCAGTAGTCAGTTCAATTACAAGATTCGTTTTTGTTCTCCGTTTCTCTGATGGTAATCCTCTTGAATTAATCCTAAATTTCAGATTATTTCATTTCTGGGTCTTTTCTTCTTCATGGAATCCTAGTTTCATTGAGTTTTCTTTTCTCTGTCTGCTTTCTGAAAGGCTGCGAAACCCATTACCAGTCCGGTCCCCGTTTCGTGGTACCCGACCCTGTCCGTGTTTATGCTGGCCATAGGCCTCGTTCTAACTGCGTCTTTCTTCATGTAAGTCCGATCTGATCCTCGTGATCCCTTTTATTCGATCTTACATTGATTCCAATATGTTCCTCGCATTAAATCTTAGTTTTTGCTCTGTGATGCACATTTGGTTTCCTGATCTGCTCACTGGACAATTTGTGGGCACGCAATGTTGGGGAAGATTTGCATGAATCAAAGAAATTAGCCTGCACAGTTTGGATATACAGGAATCTTGGGATTGTTTAGAGCCTAGATTCATAGTTCTTAGATTAAATAGTCTTCTTTATTGATTTTCAATTGTTTATGCTAAGCCTTTTAGTATCGATATGTAGCAAAAAGCTACATGGGTATTGCATTTTTCTAAAAGTTTAGGATGGGGATCCAGATGGGTAAAAGTTGATCCTTGATAAATAGCACCACAATTGATTTGTTTAATAGGGAAATACTGCATGATGCATGTTCACTTGTCCATATCAAAAGCACATGGCATGATTACAGTAGAAAAAACGAAGCCAACTCTCATCAAACTGGAGTGTCAATACTTTTTAGAGTATTAGAAGGAATGTTGCATTGATAGCAAAAGCTGTAGCTGTAGCAATCAAGAGTAGAAAGGTTATTTTGTGTTACCTTGACCCATTTGAGCTATCTGCTATTAATGAAAGCAATGTTTTACCAAGAACGTGACACCAATAATGGCCTCGGTGGAAGGTTAATGATGACATAAACTTGTCCCGAACAAGTAAAGTGTAAGTACTTCGTAATGGCCATGTTGGTCCTGGAGTTTATGAGGAAACTTGTTTAGTTTGGAGATGCGGTGTTGCTAGCAATATCTATTGTGGAATGAAAAATTGGACTGAGATAGACAAGGAGTTGTATAAATGCAGAAGTTTCTCTCTCATTCATCTGCAATTATTGCACAGGCTTCTTGTATAGGTGTAGATGTTATGTTTTTATTGGACTTTGAAACCAAAGAATTTCATTAAAGTAAGATATGTATGTGAATGGCACGTATCATCAAGTTTGAATTTCAAGGGGTAAAATGTGTTGGTAGGCTCTAATTGAATAGAAATGACAAAAAATTGTGAGAACTGATTGCAATGTCAAACGAATTGTACTTGGTCAAGAAAGGAAAAAACAAGGCTTTAGTTATGCCTGCTTGTTGCGTGTTTTCTCAATTGTAGAAGCGAGCATAGTAAATGGTATATTTCACAAAATTTGAACTTTAAAAGTCATCACAGTAGGACTTTGTGGGCTTTGTAAGGAGTGAGGTGTGAGAGGGAGAAGGAGAGGGGGAGGGGGAGGCAGAGGAAGGCATATATTGCAGATGATGGGAGGGGTTAAGCAATTGGGCAGTGAATGCGGAGGTAGCCAACCTCCTGAAAGCTATTCTGGTGTGCTTTTTGTCTATTTTCTTTGCAATTCTCTGGTTAGACTTGTACTCTGCTAGGTAGTTTGAGTTGAGTTTTATATGCCTAGCTCAATAATGTAGGCATCTTTTCAAGAATTTTTTAAATACAAGCTTGCAATTGTATGAATACTTTGTTTTAAATTTTCCTTCCATTGGATGGAATTGAGATCAGCTTAATGTGGCCTGTGTTCTGCTTTGTAGTTCGCATTTTCAAAATAATAGTTGTTGATGTTGGCATTTAAATTCTAGACAACAGGACTTATCCAATTTTCCACGGCCATGGAAAAGTCAAAACCAGAGTGGGGTTGACTAAGTGATCTTATATCTCTATATGACAAGAAGTTGATTGCTTTGTGGGATTTAATTCTAATAATAAAAATCTTATTTTGATTCTCAAAAGACAGCATCTCACTGGGGGTTTAGCTGATCCCCTGATGGAATAAGACTTCTTGCGTATAGTACCTAAAAGAATGATTTTATTTCGACTGTCCAAATTTCTTATCCTTGAAGCATCATAATCCTGAACACTGAAGTTACTTAAAAAATTGAGTATCAAATTAATTATGACATTGTCTTACATGACCAAAATAGGTTCTTTGTCAGTGTGATGAGTTGTAATGCTTGAGTTTAATGGACTATGGTATGGATCTTATGGTGACAGTTTATCATTTTGATCCAACTTCTTTTATAAATTTATCTGTTATGCCCAGATATGAAACGACCTCATCTCGAAAAAGCCGTTCTCTTGCCAAGGAGCTGACAACTGCAGCTGTGGCATCATTCTTCTTGGTACATACCTTGTGTATTATGTTTCGCTATCAGTGGCTGAAACGATGATGGCTTTAGTCTTAATAAACTTGCACTCACGTGTCTCTGTCCTTTCCTTTGCAGGGTTTTGGGTCTTTGTTCCTCCTGCTTGCTTCTGGCGTTTATGTCTAGCTAGTCATTGAACGACAAATTGGATTACAAGTTTTGTTAAGCGGATCATTTCAAAGGATTAGTAGTTATCTTTGTTGTTAGTTTGATCTCTAAGCTATGGATTTTGTAATGCTTGAGAAGATAATGAATTGATTATACTGTTTATCTTTGAGAATCTATTCATCTATTTAGGTAACAACTAGATGCAATTTAAGCCGCAATAATCATAACTTTTAAACAGCATAACTTACTGTATTCCTTTATGTTCTTTCACGCATCCTTGCAAGGAAAAGTGGGGCAACTTTTCATAAAAGAATCTGGAGAGGGTCTGCCTCTTTCTACTATTCTCTTCATGAGATTTTCACCTGAGCTATGATTCCTGAACAAGGCATTTCTCACCCATTTGACTACCTAAATAAGTACTTTTCCATGGATGAATGAATTTAGTTAAAAATAGTTAAATATAAAGATTTTAAACTTTTATACATTGACATTTTTTAAAATGATTCATAAATATATTATTTATTTTTATAAAGGATCTTGCATTGATAATGATTAGGACAGTTCTAATGAATAAAATTATATAGAGTTTGTGATGAGTCATATCATTTATGATTTATTCTGGCAAAAAAAAAAAAATTTACTCATGACTTCTAAATAATACAACTTTTTAGAGATAAAATATATAAATGATGATTTGAATATTTCATTTATTCAAAAAAGGGGTACAATTATTAAGTATAATTGAATTTTAATAATTTTGTTTTCTATTTATAATTATTTTATATTTACCATTTAGTAATTTTATGTATATCAGGCAAATCATTATTTTTTTATTTATAATTATAATCATAATTCTCTAAATCATTCAATTGGGCCCATTCAACCAATTATTATGTGTAATTGGGATTTTACCACCAGGCTAATAAAAATAAAATCGGGCCCCTTGAATCCTCTTTCTGCTTCTGCATGATCTCGGAAAAACCAAACACAAAAAAAGTGATAATTTGAATTTAAAGTTTTTTAATTCACCATTTGAAATTTAAAAATGAGGAAAAGCGAAAGTTAATGCGACTAATAGACCCAGGCGTTAGGTTTTCAAAAGAAGGAAAAGAGGAGGAAGATAAATTTGAGGGAGGCCCCGTTCAGAAACCCTCTTAAGCTTCTCTCCTCTTCTCTCCTCTAGGGTTTTGGGCTTTACCTTCCTTCTTGTCTCCCTCGCCTTTCTCCTTTCATCTTCAATGGGCTCCGACAAGGATAACTTCAGCATGGCAGATCTCAGCTCTGGTAACTTACTGTTTCTTATTTGTTCAACTCTCTCAATTTCGCTGTTTCTTGGTTTTTTTGCACTCGCTTTTTGGTTATTCTCATGCTATTTTCTGTTGTTAATTTGCAAAGCTCTTAATGAGGAGAATCGAGCGGACCTAGTCAATGCTCTCAAGGTTGGTTTGCTTGGTTTTAATTGTTCGTTGTGCTTACTGTTGCTATATTTGGGAGATTGCTCTTTTTCTGTTATTTATACTATTTTCTTTGATAGAACATTGATTGCTTGATTTGTGAACTTAAGAGAGTTGGGTTGGTTGCTAGAATCATATGGATTATGGAGTTTTAAGCTTAGGGAAATCAAATTTTATGTCTCGGGTTGGTGTTGATTTGGTTCGTGTGGATATTTTCTTGTGCAGAATAAGATCCAGAGTCTGGCTGGGCAGCACACAGATGTTCTCGAGAGTCTGACGCCTGATGTCAGGAAGCGTGTTGAGGTTCTTAGAGAGATCCAGGCATGTCCTAGCTTTTATCACCCTCAATTTTAAAGTTTTTTGGAGTAATAGATGTAAAGCGTTTTGTTATTTGTAGATGTGATTCAGTATGTGTTACTTAATTATAAATAAGAAGGCTTTGCGTCGTGTACAAAATAACTTAATCTTTTCGATCTTATTGTGAAACACGAAGTTGATTTTAAACATTAGATTTTATTGATTGTTACCATAGTGTATTGTTGAATGAAAGCTGAATAAGAAATCTAACTAGACTGAATTTTTCACCTCCGTTTGAACTTTAAATTTGGTGACAGTAGAGTTGATGGTGATGACCAACCAAAGTATATATTTCCTTATGTTTGGGCCAGTTTCTGATGAGGAGTGACTGTCGTTCCATCACTTCATCTTATGAAAATCTTGTCCTGCAGGGTCAACATGATGAATTAGAAGCGAAATTTTTTGAGGAGAGAGCAGCTCTTGAAGCCAAATACCAAAAATTGTATCAACCATTATATACAAAGGTGCACTATACCTATTAATAAGTTGCATGCAATGTTATGAGGCTATATTGCATGTGACTGCTAATTTCTCCGCTAGTCTTGAACATTTTCTTATCAATATGGTGATTCTTAATTGTAATGAATCATCTGATATTGATGTTTTCACCTATTAACTTGTGATTAATGGATGCAGCGTTATGATATTGTAAATGGTGTTGCTGAAGTGGAAGGAGTAGCAAATGAAACTGCAGCTGATACAGAAGAGGATAAAGGTACCATATAAATGCAATGCCTTTTTCTTCTGGAAGTATTTCATTTCCTTGATGTTGTTATTATCTTGTTTAGAGAAAGGCGTGCCTGCTTTCTGGCTCACTGCTATGAAAAATAATGAAGTGTTGGCGGAGGAGGTTAGTCATTTGTATTTATTTTTCAGTTGTTATTTAAACCTCCCATGTGAGCTTCCCTGTCAAGACACAATTGTAACTGTTCTTTCACTGCTACAAATCAGATTTCTGAGCGAGATGAAGGTGCTCTCAAGTATCTCAAAGATATTAAGTGGAGCAGGATAGAAAGTCCCAAAGGATTTAAGCTTGAGTTTTACTTTGATGCTAATCCTTATTTTAAGAATTCTGTCTTGACAAAAACATATCATATGATTGATGAAGACGAGCCTATTCTGGAGAAAGCAATTGGGTAACTCTCTCCCACCCACACACGCACACACAAATCAATTGATGCTTTCACTTTATCTTCTACTCTTAATTACAATCATGTGAGAAGGCTTAGCTGAGGATGGTTTATTTTCCTTTTCATGTAGCACGGAAATTGAATGGTACCCTGGCAAGTGCTTGACGCAGAAGCTGCTTAAGAAAAAGCCCAAGAAGGGTGCAAAGAATGCTAAACCAATTACTAAAACTGAAAATTGTGAAAGTTTCTTCAATTTTTTCAACCCACCACAGGTCCCTGAAGATGATGAAGACATTGATGAAGATTTGGTATGATTGTCCTTTTTAATAATCTAGGCTAATAAATTTGACTCTTTTTCCCTTTCTTATGACCGTAGTTGAATTTTGTGAGTAGGCTGAGGAACTTCAGAATCAGATGGAACAAGACTATGACATTGGGTGAGCTTAATTACCTTGTACTTGTTTGTGAGCTGTCATATGTTTTTGTCCAATTATGTCACTCTCCTAATGTTCAAACAAAGTTTATTGACAACCAATTCCTCCCCACTTCCTTTTTTTTTTTTTTGATCTTTTTGGGCAGTTCACAAACTTGTGGCTTTCCTGATTCTTTATCATGCGTTGTTCAGGTCAACAATAAGAGACAAGATTATTCCCCATGCTGTATCGTGGTTTACTGGGGAGGCCATTCAGGGAGAGGAGTTTGGAGACCTAGAGGATGATGAAGATGAAGACATTGAAGATGATGATGAAGAGGAGGAGGAGGAGGATGAAGATGAGGATGAAGATGATGATGACAATGACGAGGAAGAAAAAACCAAGAGCAAAAAGAAGGTACTATATACTAACTGTTTTTAATATTCTTTTTTTTGCTTTGAAATCTTTCATTATTTTCTATTTTCTTTTAGAATCTGAATTGATTTTTTCTTCTCCCAACTTCCTTGTGGTGTCAAATCTGTTCGTGATGTTGATCCAGTCATCGGGCCACAAGGTATGAAATTTTGATTTGGTGGTGTTTATGTGAAATAGGTGACTTTATGCTCATTTGGCCATGCTGGCGGAGAAAAGTTGCTTTATGAAAAGAAAATCATTTTTTAAAACCTTCTATTTGTGTTTGGTCACCATACAAACTAGTTTTGAATGCTGGGATGTAGCAACATAAGCTAGGAATTGTAACTTCTGTGTTTTAGAAACTGCTAATTACTAATCTTTAGATAAAAACAGTTATGCAAATAAAAAGAGATATAAATATTTGTCTTGAACAAAATTGCTATGTGCGCATGTGTAAAGATTTCAGTGAATGCTGAACCACATTATCAGAAAAAGGAAGAAATTTGGCTGCACTGCTAACCTTAGTCTTACACAAGACATGCAAGATCTAGTGCTGACTATGTATTATTTCCATTTCCATTTACATTTATTCATATAATGCTATATGTAGCACAACCCATATGGCTGACTTTAGTAGGATAAAGCTTGTTGTCATCGTTTCATAATGCTGTATGTGGATTATGCATCCATATATTCCATGGCATGATGGAGTTTTGAACTTGCGACCTACATTTTGGTTTTATCTTTCAGAAGAGTGGAAGACCACAGGTTGGAGGACAGCTGGGTGAGCAACCTCCAGAATGCAAACAGCAGTAGAGGGGGTTTTTTTTTTTTTTCCCGTCAGCTGAGATTTGCTCTGTGGGTCTGATGCTGGTGGTGCTGAAAATATGGGTGTCAGGCAGGTTTGGATGGTACTTCTATTCATTGTTCTTCCAAAATATTTATATGTCTGAATGGTTTTGAGAGTTCCTTTCAGTTTTTGTCCCTATCCCCATGGAGAGAAATGTGGTAATATAATATATAGTCAGGGATGTCATCTGCTATATGCTGGAAATTTGTATCTCGGATGCTTCAGAAAGATATTATTTATTATTCTAGCCTTTGCAATCAGCTGCAGCTGTGTGCGCGTGTGTAAATGTCTTTTCCTTCTCTTAAATTACACTTTTTTGTCATCAGCATTATAATACCCTATTAACCAAGATAATTAGCATATAACCTTTAAGAACAATGTTCAAGTTTACCCAAAAAAGGTGGAGAGAAAGTGACCTAACTTTCATTCGATTCAATTTTAAATCTTTCTTGCACACCTGAAACACGTGTTGTCATTGTCATGTTTCAAAATCAATGTCTTCATTAATCAATATAAATATAAGTAGTCAATATCAATATTTAAT